TGGGGACCCTCCTGTGACTGTTGTGCGCCACCGGAGTACGCTGCCCAGGAAAAGCCATGCGTGGTTTCTGGGAGAAGTCCTACGTGGGCGTGCAGGGAGGGAAAGTACGCTTCCCTCTGCCCTCCCGAGTTCCTGGCTGAGGCCCCTGTAATAAAAGACAGATTAACAAGAGAAGATCAAACGCAAGTTCATGAGCCTGTGCGCCTCCTGTGCGCATGGGGGAGACCCAGGAAATACGAGCAGCTCCCCGAGCTGGCTGAGAATTCAGGCCTAAATAGCTGCTTAAGAGGAAAGAGGCAGACAGATGTGGGCCTCTGGGGGAGAGGAGGTGACTTGTGGCAAGGCGACGGGGCCCTGGAAGGCAGGTAGCAGGTGTGGTCCAGGCCCGCCCGGCTGTGCTGCCCTCTTCCCGGCCCCCTCCCAGGAAAGAGGCAAAACTCCTCCCCGGCTGGCAAAACCTGGGGAAGCGGGGCGTCTGACACACGTGCCCGGGCAGATGGGGGCGCTCAGAGGAGGCGGCCCTGCCCTGCGTCGGCTGCTTCTCCGGGGCCTGCAGCTGAAACAACCACAACACCTCGGGGCACGTGTGGGGGCCGCCCGTCCGCCGTCCTCATCCCCGCCTGACGCTCGCCCAAGTGGTTTCACGGCCTGGAAGCCGGGCTGACGGCTCCTCCCTCTCCGCCCTGATAAGTGGTCTGTCCAGTGGAACCGGCGCCTCATTTCAGGCTCTAAGGATGCAAACAATCTGGGGGTGAGTGAGAGTCATTTCTGTGGAACCAAAGGAAAACAACAGGGCATGTTTGGAGCAGACGCTAAGCCCGTCTTCCAGTCCGGGCAGCAGCCAGCCAGTCGAGGAGCGCAGAGCCTCTGCTGCAGCCTGAACTCCTGTGGTGATGCCACCACGTGCCCTGGGGAGCTCTCGGGGGGGTCCTTGCGGCAGCAGGCGTGCAGGCTGTCCGTGCGCGAGCCGCCATGGGGCTCCCTGAGGCTTACGCCCCGTCATCCAGCCTCAGTTTGCTGGGGCTCGGGGGGAAAGGGCAGTTTTGCTCTTAGTGGTTCCAAGCCAGAAGGGCGGGAGAGAATCGGAAACGTTGGTTTGGAGAGAGGCAGTCGGATATCTGAGTCCAGCTGCAGGTAGAAAACAGAACCTCAAAGGCGAGGGACAGGATGGGTTCCCACAGGCGCAGCACTGGACCCTGATTCTCCCCTGTGCAGTCGCCCCCATTTCTACCAAAGATGATCACAGGAAGACCAGTTTGTCTGCAGAGGAAGTCGTCCTGTCCCACTTGGCCTGACCACTCACAGAAGCTCAGCGAAAGCCGCGAGGCCCACACAGGCCCTCGTGAGGTTGCTCTGCGGGAGCTGGTGACGGGGACTCAGGCCAGCCCGCGTGCCCCCTTCAGGCGTGCCGGGCAGGGCCCCTCTGGCTTGGGGCTGCACCCCGCCTGCTGGCGCCTCCCCGCGGCCACCACGCGGCCTCTGTGTGGGGGGCTGGCTTGGGTCCCCGCGCGCGGTGTCCCGCGAGGATTTGGGAAACCCGGGGCCTGCTTTCTCCCGTGGTATCTGTCTGGAGAACGTCCAGACAGCTCCTCGGTGAGCCTTCCTGACCCTGGGGCCCTTTTTTGCAGGAATTTGCTGAAGAAATAGTAATCTGTCCAGGTTTGCTCTTTTTCCAGCCAAGTTTGAAGTTTTCAAAAAATAACCGGTTTCCTCAGATTTTTCGATGGGGCTGGCATAAAAGATACAGAATAAAACGTTTTTAAAAGACTTATTTAGAGACATGCTCTGGGAAACACCGCCCCCCCCACCGTGTTCTCCTCACATCCTTCTCCTGAAGAGAGAAGTCTCATTTTTCTCTCCGAAATTTGCCAAGGGTGCACCTATTTTCTTAAGGGTTTTCTTGAGTCTCTTGTCAGTTCTCCAGGTTTTCTGTCTTCAGACTCAGACATCTCTGCGTTCGTCTTAACCGACGACCCCGGTGTTTGCTGTGTCCTGCTTGGGCACGTCCTTCCTTCTGGAGCTAAGTGCTCAGGCCACTCACTGTAATTCTGTTTTAATGATGAAAACATTTAAAGTTAAGGCTGTGCTCTGAGTCACTGTCTGGCCAAATTCCTCGCGTTTCCCTGCGTAGCCCACTTGCTGTCGTTAACATTCTCCCGTAGCCTCTCAGAGCAGTTTTGATTCCTACTGAACCCAAGGTCACTTCAAGATGCTTTTTAAATTTCTGAAAGTCTTTTTTTTTTAAGTTATCGTTAAGTTTTAATTGCGTTATTCTAGTGAAAAGTCCTGGCCAGTTTTTGTTTGTGGAATTTTTTTTTTTTGAGATTTTCATCATGGTCTGTTTTAGTACAAAATGCTGCCATGGTCCCCTGGGCTTTGATCTAAAAAGCTGTAGTTTCTAAAGGTATACTCGAAGTTTTTTTTAAATTGAAGTATAGTCAGTTACAATGTGTCAGTCTCCGGTGCAGAGCAGCATGTCCCAGCCATGCGGCCACGCGAGTGCGTGCAAGGTGTGTTCACGGCTGGGTGCCCGGCTGCTCATTTGACCTCACTGATGGTTCGCATTTTCCCGCCATCAGAGAAGCCCGTGGTCATACACGGTGTCTGTGACCGTCAGCTACCCCTTATCCTTACGCGAGCGTTTGCTTTACCCAAATGAGAGGCGTACATCGCAGGTTTAATTCTACTGGCGTCTGTTTTGTTTCCCGAAGACGTACGTTCATCTGAGTGATCTGGTCAAAAGCAAAGGGCTGTCCCTGCACAGCCGGGCCCCCCCACCACGTATAACACGGAGTCATGAGCTTTTCTCTGCTCTTTCCCTTCTTCTTCCAACTTGCGGTCTTTGCTAACTTACTTTGGATCTGGGACCCAGATAACCATCATTAAACTGTTTTTTGAACAATACACAGTTTCTGTAAAAATGGCTTTTATGTTCGTAGTCAGTCCTGTAACCACACTGGCCACAATTTCCAGAGTTAAGTCTCTGTGTCTAAATGCCAGGCTTTTTGTGTGGCTGCCCCTGCTCTGGACGTCCACGCTGGGAGGACCACGAGGTGGAACATTTTCTCCATCTTTGCGCATCTGCATCCAGAAATGTCGGCTGCCTTCCTACTCGGGGGCACAAGCGTATCGGGCCCCAGCCTCTCTCACTCCTAACTCCGTGGCTGAGCTGCTTCCTGCCCTGGTCTTCCCCAAGGTTGGGTGGCGGCCACAGGCAGCATTTGCATGGCTCCTTGGCCGTTTTTAGCCACCATCCCCGTCCCTCTCAGCAGTGTCGTCACCTCTGCCGTGTGTCCCTGCTCCCTGCAGACCCTTTGGAGTATCGTGTCCTGTCCTCCCTGTCACCTGGGGGGGCCACTGGACCTGCAGTGGTGGCCCTCAGTAAATCCCTGGCCACTGACTGCCCTTCCGGTTCCCAGAGTGGACAACACACTGGCTGTGGGCCCGGCGCACCCGGGAACGGCCCAGTGTGAGCACGTCGGGGTTGGGGGGAGTGTGGGAGTCAGAAGCGCGGCCCCGCGCCCACTGCAGCCTGACCCTCCCGCCCCTCTGCTCCTCCCTCCAGATCCGCTCGGACAAAGACAATGACATCCCCATCCGCTACAGCGTCACCGGCGTGGGCGCCGACCAGCCCCCCATGGAGGTCTTCAGCATCGACTCCATGTCTGGCCGGATGTACGTCACGCGGCCCATGGACCGGGAGGAGCGCGCCTCCTACCACGTGAGTGTCTGCGGGCGCGGCCCCTAAGGGTAGGCGTGGGGGGTGGGGGTGGGGGGGGAGAGGTGGTGCGCAAACCCGGATGCCGGGATGGCTGATTCGGGGTGTCACACACCCTGCTCAGGGCAGAAGCTGTCGGTCTCCCAGTCACTAAGCTCAACCACGCCACACAGCGTGACCCGATCACAGTGGCCCCCCCATAGCCTTCACACCTGGGGCCAGCACCCCACATCCTTGGGGCCGATTTAGGTCCTCCCTGCTCCTCCCGCTGGGTGCCGTTCAATCCTGTCCCGAGTTCCACTCGGCACCTTTGGCTGTCAGGGGGGCTGGACAACGTGCCCCACCTGAAAGCGAGCTGATGAACCACGGACACAGGTGCCTGTGAGACCAGCCCCTTGGGAGCACGCAGACGCGTGAGATAAACCAGCCGCCACTGTCTGCTCTGCAAGATGATTCTCCAGAAGATTCTTTTAAGAATTCCTTATGAAAGCTTGTTACTGGGGCCTGCCGCCTACTGACATCTTGCACAAGTTCCCTAATTTCCCTGAGCCTCAGTTTCCCCATCTGTAAAACAGGGATCGGACAATACCAATCTCACGGGTTCTTGCGAACGTTGAGGTGAGGCAGCGCAAGTGGAGTTCTTGGCACGCCCCAGCCCGGTGCCCCCAGCCCGAGCAAGCACATGGTGAGAGCTGGCTGCTGATGTTAATGGAAGAAAATCTTGAGTCCACCGCAAGCGACTTCCAGGGCCATGGAATGTTCCCAGTCCCTCCCCCAGGGGGAAACCGCTGGCCCACTATTAAGACAGGGAGAGGAGCGAGTACCCAGAGGGGAGAGCATGGGGTCCCACACACAGAGAGACCATCATCCGTCAGCAGGTGCACACGATGCATTGCAGGAAATTCACTTTGCACAGGACACTCAGATTTGCAAGCGGCAGGACATTTCTTGCCTCCACCACCAAGAGGGACCCCCCCCCAAACTCCCACGCTGTCGGGCCCAGCCTGAGGGAGGGGACGGGGTGGGGTGGGGTGGGCGTC